GCCGTCCCCGGACTTCTGGAAGGCCGGGAGCGGCGGGGGTAAGCAGCGCGGGAAGGCTTCAAGCTTCCCGATCCACCCTCCAGCCTGTCCCCGCCGCTTAAAGCCTCCTTGCGCCGCCTATCCAGCCCGTTCTCGGACACCTAGGTGTCCGAGAACGGGCTGGGTAGGCGGCGGGGAAGGCTACCGGCATCGGGGACAGGCTGGGGGGTGGACCGGGGAGCTTGAAGCCTCTCCGCGCCGCCTACCCAGGTCGTTCCCGGCTCAAGCTCACAGTCATATTTTGATTTATCCTCACAAGAGGCCTGTGAGGCTGATGAGGCATTGAAATTACACCTAGCTTAGAGACACCATTACTATGCAAAGATTCAAACCTGGCATTCCTTGTCCAAAACAAAGACTTAAATTATCACCACATTGGCTCTTGATTCATCTGGGACAAATCTTCCTGACAACTTCAGAAGTAGAATTTGAGACAACAGGAAAGAGTGGAGGGGGCAAAAGGCACAAACTGAGGTGGCATCAGAAGCCCTCTAGAGTGACTCATATAAAGTGAAGAGACACATAAGTGCAATATTGCTTTGAAGCAGAACATTTGTTCCTCCAGATATTTTCCCCTCAAACTCCCAAAATTCCTAGCCAGGATGGTAAAAGATTGTAAGGAATATGGAATCCAAAACATCTGGAGCTCCAACAATTCTCTGCCCCTGAGCTAGAGGTTCTATACAATTTGGGCGCCTATTTCTTTTGACTGAAATATAACAACATCCCTAGTTAAAGTTCACAGAAGAAAGATCTTGTAAAGTATTTTATGGTTTTGTCCAGCTTCTGATGCAGTTAGCAAGTTTTTTTTACAGACTCAGGGCTCTCTGCCATTCTTGCCTCACAATACTGTATATTTCCACAAACGTTAATCTTGGAAGCTAACATTAGGTGTCCCTTCCTTGTTTCCAGGATTCAGACTTCAATGTTCTGGAGTTCAGCAATTGATATGATGCTGGCTATTTTCACGTTCAACCATTTCCAAGGAAGGCTTTCATAAAATAATGCCTTCCCCCATACAACAAGGTCTAGGACTACCTGGACCAGTTAAACACATTCCTGCGTTTGGGGAAGCCGGATAACATCTGCCATCCACAGACACTGGGTGAGAGACCGTGTGGCTGTGGCTGGGCTGCTGCTGGCTGCCAGCTTTTTTGAGGGAGCCTGGCTCAGTCTCCCTCTGCCTTGCAGGACTGGGACCTTGCTACTCCTGGCTGCCCCACCCCTTCCTCGACATCAGCCACCTGGCTCAGAGGGAGAAGAGGCTTATAAGCCGGAGCTGCTTTCAGGGCCCTACTGGATTGGCATTCCTGAGAGATGAAGTTCCTCCTCATGTTCAGCTTTCTAACAGAAGCCTGAAGGTTTTGTGCCAATACTGACTGGTATTTGGAGCTGTTCATAATTCCCTTTACCTTGACTAAGATCCCTGTCCCAGCTGAAGAAAAGCAGCGCCAGAACATGATGCTGCCACCACCATGCTTCACTGTGGGTATGGTGTTCTTTTGGTGATGTGCAGTGTTGTTTTTGCACCAAACATATCTTTTGGAACTAGGGCCGAAAAGTTCAACCTTGGTTTCATCAGACTGTAATACTTCCCCCCCCCCCCCATGCTTTTGGGAGCCTTCAGATGTGTTTTTACAAAATTTAGCCAGACTTGGATGTTTTTCTTCGTAAGAAAAGGCTTCTGTCTTACCACTCTACCCCATAAGCCAGATATATGAAGAATATGGGGATTATTGTCACTTGTACCACACAGCCAGTACTTGCCAGATATTCCTGCAGCTCCTTTAATGTTGCTGTAGGCCTCTTGGCAGCCTCCCTGACCAATTTTCTTCTAGTCTTTTCAGCAATTTTGCAGGGATGTTTAGTTCTTCGTAATGTTACTGTTGTGCCATATTTTCTCCACTTGATGATTACCATCTTCACTGTGTTCCATGGTATATCTAATGCCTTGGAAATTCTTTTATACCTGTCTCCTGACTGATACCTTTTTAACAATGAGATCCCTCTGATGCTTTGAAAGCTCTTTGCAGACCATGGCTTCTGCTGTAGGACGTGAAAATGTTAGGAAAGACCTACTAGCACAGCTGATCTTTATTTGGGTTTCCTCAGAGACACCATAAATTTATTTATTTTATTTATTTATTTATTTTTGGACGTATATACCGCCCCATAGTGCTACAAGCACTCTCCGGGCGGTTTACAATTTCATTATACAGGCTACACATTGCTCCCCCCAGCAAGCTGGGTACTCATTTTACCGACCTCGGAAGGATGGAAGGCTGAGTCAACCTTGAGCCGGCTACCTGGGACTTGAACCCCAGGTCGTGAGCACAGTTTTAGCTGCAGTACAGCGTTTTAACCACTGCGCCATGAGGCTCTTTAAATGATGGCAGTGGTGTACTGACTCCTACTTAACATGAGTTTGAATGTGATTGTTTACTGCTGAACACAGCTACATCCCCAGTTATAAGAGGCTGTGCACACAGATGCAACCATATTATTTCAGCTTTTTTATTTTTACTTCCCTCCACCTAAAAGATTTCAGTTTGTTATTCAACTGAGTTGTACAGTTCATCGGTCTCATTAAAGGTGGCAAAAGCTCTGAAATGATTTGTCTTTGTCTTATTTTTTTACATCATAGACACTTGACATTTAACAGGGGGGTATAAACTTTTTATATCCACTGTAGGTTAAAGGGCCATTTCCCAGCCCTAAAGGTAAAAGTAAAGGTTCCCCTTGACAATTTTTGTCCAGTCGTGTTCGACTCTAGGGGGCGGTGCTCATCCCCGTTTCCAAGCCATAAAGCCAGCATTTTGTCCGAAGACAATCTTCCGTGGTCACGTGGCCAGTGCAACTTAGACACAGAACGCTGTTACCTTCCCTGTGGAGAATATATCAATTTCACCCTACCTTGATGAGCAGATCCTGGCAACAGTCACACATGCATTGGTAACAACCAGGCTGGACTATTGCAATGTGCTATATGCGGGGCAGCCTTTGAAGATAGTCTGGCAACTGGCATAGAACCAGGCTGCGCGGCTGGTAAGTGGTGCCACTGCACAGACTGATATCATGCCGGTTCTGAAATACTTATACTGGCTGCCAGTTGTTGCTTGGGCCCAATTCAAAGTGCTTACTTTGACATGTAAAGCCCTAAACGGCTTAGGACCTGGTTACCTAAAGCACTGGTTCTTAACCTTGGGTTACTCAGGAGTTTTGGACTGCAACTCCCAGAAGCCTTCACCACCAACTGTGCTGGCTGGGGTTTCTGGGAGTTGCAGTTCAAAAACATCTGAGTAACAAAGGTTAAGAACCACTGACCTAAAGGACCGCCTTCTTCCATACTCTAAGATCAGGCCAGGAGGCCCTTCTGAAGGTGCCATCCCTGAAAGAGGTAAAGGGGATGGCATGTTGAAATAGGGCCTTCTCAGCTGTTGCTCCCCAACTTTGGAACGCCCTCCCTATAGGGACCTGCTTGGTTCCGACACTTTTGGCTTTTCTGCGTCAGGCAAAGAACTTTCTGTTTAGCCAGCATTTTAATTAAATAGTATCCTTTAGTTCACTATATGAGCAGCAGGATCTATTAATGTTAAATTGACTGTTTTAATATAGGGTATTATTATAATACAGTGGTGCCTCGCATTACAACGTTAATTCGTTCCAGCGAAATCGCTGTAAAACGAAAACGTCATAATGCAATTTTTAAAAGCCCATAGAAATACATTAAAACCCAATTAATGCATTCCTAGGGGCTTGAAACTCACCGTCCAGCAAAGATCCTCCATAGCGTGGCCATTTTCGCTGCCTGTGCAGCGAGGAATCCATGCCAGAAAAGAGCGAGTGGCCATTTTGTTTACCCGGCGGCCATTTTGAAACTGCCGATCAGCTGGCCGAAAATCATCGCTTTGCTTCGGGAACCGATCATCACAAAGCGAAATTCCCCCATAGGGAACATCGTTTTGCAAACACTTTTGCGATCGCAAAAACATCGACGTCTAGTGATTTCGTCGTCAAACGGAGCGCCTGTTAAGCGAGGTACCACTATACTGGGTATTTTAATGGTTTAAATGTTTTTCTAAAGTTTTCATGTTGTATGCTGCTCAGAGACCATTGGTAATGGCGCGGCTAAAAATGTGGTAGATAAATAAATTGATTGCCCAGCATTTTGGTCAAAGTGACTCACAATTACCTCAAAATGAAGATATCTTAGGTTCATATTGCTTTTTTAAATGGAGAAGCTAGTTCTATTTTTAAAGGTTATTCTTCCCCACCCACTTCAATCTTTTCCCAGCCACAAATAATTATCTCTTACACTTTTATCAGCTCAGCTGCTTTCACTTAAGATAACAGCACTGAACCCCTATAATATAATTATATGCCTTGCTGTACCTTCAGTCAAGCCAAACCAAGTCCCAAACATCCCTCCAAGCCAACCCTGCTGCCCATACAAATTTGCTACCAACAATATTTGTACTGCTACCATTTCACCGAAAATAAGACCTAACCTAAAAATAAGCTCTACCCCCAAAATAAGCCCCAGTTAAGTGAAACCCCACCCTCCACCACTGTGCAGCAACCAGAAGATGACATGACTGTATTTGAATAAATATAGATTGTTGTACATGAAAAAAATAAAACATCCCCTGAAAATAAGCCCTAATGCATGTTTGGAGCAAAAATTCATGTAAGACCCTGTCTTATTTTCGGAGAAACATGGTATGAATTCAAATTTAGTCGTAAATCATAAACACATGGGGAGAAAAAAACATACCAATGGACCTTTAGGCTCACTTAGTCTTTGAGTTAAAAATGCTGCTGTGACATTGCTCCCTGCAAAGAAACAAAGTCAAATGTTACTCTTATTCTTTACTGCTTAAGGACTACACCTCTAGCATGCACAGAAACTGGATCTGCTAATTGGGTATAGCACATACACTACATGTCTAAATCAATCAATCATGACAAATACCATAGAAAACAAAGGGCTACTTGATGGTGTGGCTGAATAGAAACTAGAAGGAAGTAGTATGAAAACATAAAGCAAATTAAGGAAGAGCAAACGACAGCACAAACATGTTAACAGGAAAAAGCTTGCTCAAATTCAAGCAGTAGAGATTTGAGTGACTTGAATCTTTGCTAGACAGACACACAACAGGGACACTAACTTGGTTCAAGCTATATAGGCTTAACTAACATGTCATTTGAATGATCCTGACAGTCTTAACCTCAGGATGAACAAAAAGGCCTGAGGTATCCCCAAGACATTGTGGAACATTTACCACATTTACACTGTACACTACACTGGTGGTAGAGGATATTTTCCAGTATCCTCCTGTGTTAACTTGCTCTCTGTAGAGTAGGGACTGGCAATCTGTAGTCCTCAAGGTGTTAGACTCATTTCTCACCACTGGCTATGGCTGATGCAAGTTGCAGGCCAACATCTATACACTTTCTCTGGCTATGCTCTAAACAAGTTACACTGCCGGCACTTGCAGCCAGAATGCGGCTGGGGTACGTCACAATGGTGGGGGGGAGAGAGGGAAGGAAGGAGCGGGAGGGGAGGGGAGTGGGGGGCTGTGTGACTGCATTGCTCCATCCCCGTCAATAGGGAACCCCCTCCTGGCCCCATAAAGCCACCGGAGTTGAAGTTGGCAGCCTCTGCTGTCTGAGATCGTAGCTGCCAGTGAGCACGCTTGGAGCGGGGCTGTGGAGGATGGCTAGGGCTGCCCCCCAATGTGGCCCAAACCAAATGTATGTGCAGCCCAAACTAAATTTTCATCTTCTAATGTGGCCCAGGGAAGGGGAAAGGTTGGACACCCCTGCTCTAAACTAGTGGTTCTTAACCTTTGTTACTCGGATGCTTTTGAACTGCAACTCCCAGAAACCCCAGCCAGGACAGCTGGTGATGAAGGCTTCTGGGAGTTGCAGTCCAAAACTCCTGAGTAAACCAAGGTTAAGAACCAGTGCTCTAAACAATGTTGAGTTAGGTCAAACAACAGTGTGACCGATTTGGTCACATGGAGCTTCTCATGTTCCTAAACAACATTTGAAAACATCCTCTACACCATTTCTTAGAAATATACCCCACTGCGCCCTAGGTCCCTATTGTACATGTGCAAACTTAGGATGGCCACCAACCTGGTCCAAAATCCACAGTTGAATAAAGACCCTGAAGAGTGCCACATCGCAAGAAATTTTTGCCTGCACCATCAGTGGTAAACAGTACCACTTCATTCCCAAGGTACTGGCGAAAAAGATTCTGCAGGTAACGAAGGTAATCAAAATCACAGGCAAAGTAACTTCCATATTCATTTTCAACCTAAAAAATAAATGCAAATAAACAATTATACAAAATTAAATAAGAAAAAAAACTGACATCCATCAACTAGAGCAAACTTGAGAGATGCAGGACATGCTAAAATGAAAGGATAAAATAAATGAAAAATATCCAAGCAAATGTTCCTAATCCTGTATATCAAAATCCAAGTAAACCCCAAAGAATTAGAGTAAAAAGCAAATGAATATGGTCCATTTTGCATTATAAACTCTCCCCTGCAGGCTTTCTAGGAATTCTGTGACATTTTCTCCAGAGCATCAGAATGGCCTCCAATTATTGTTTTTTAAGGTGGAGAGAGGGGGTCAGTTTTCCCATCTTCATGAAATTTCTTCTCTAGATTTTTTTTCACGGCTTTACCCAGTTTGGATTTTTTTTTATTTTTTGCAGGTTAACTGTCTTATATAGACTGTCCAGTAAATATTTCTTTTAATGTATTATATTCCCTTGTCATGACTTACAAGCAATTTTTTGCCATGCACACACTGCTCTCCTTAGCATCTGTTTCTGGAGCTATAGGATATATAAGTTATTTTCCTGAAGCCTTCTATTAAATTGTCAATGCTGCCACCTTTTGTTTATTATAGGTTTAGCTGTGATTTGGGGTTTTTTTCAAGAACTACATTATATAGTAATTAATATAAAATTATTTCTGTTGCAAGTTACATTATGGAAATATTTTAGATGAGTAAATCATGCTGATCAATGCAAGATAAAACTTGCATTTGGCAAGAATAAATCAATTCAGACTCCTACTTCCCACTTCTCTGAATCTTCCAGTGCACTCCTATGGACAATTACTCAAAAGTAAGTTCAATGGTATGTATCCTTAGATTAGTGTGCCTGGCTCAGACTGAGGTATATAAAGATGCAATATTACTCTTATAGGTTTATGGGCCAACATTCAATCCCACATGTGCTAGAATGCTAGCCTCTGAGATGAGGTAAACACTGTGTCCCAGGTTTTGATTATCAGATGTAAAAATTAACATTTTTCTATTTTACATCTCTAGCTTTGAGCAAGCTGCACAGTCCCAGAGCACACCCAGAAGAAGGTAACGGTAAAACAATTTCGAGTACATTATATCTAGAAATATCTGGAAAAGACTGCCATAAGTTAGAATCAATTTAGTGGCTAATAATAATAATAATAATAATAAAAACCACTGGTAGGTATCCAGTATGCTGTAGATGAAAGAGTAATGGACTGGACTTAGGAGACCTTGGTTCAAATCTCTGCTTGGCCATGGAAAGTCACTGGAGTGGTGGTAGAATTGGCAAAACCACTCCTTAAAAATCTAATTTACTTTGAAAGCCCTATTAGGGTCACTATATATCAGTTGCAACATAATAATAATAAAAACCACTGGTAGGTATCCAGTATGCTGTAGATGAAAGAGTAATGGACTGGACTTAGGAGACCTTGGTTCAAATCTCTGCTTGGCCATGGAAAGTCACTGGAGTGGTGGTAGAATTGGCAAAACCACTCCTTAAAAATCTAATTTACTTTGAAAGCCCTATTAGGGTCACTATATATCAGTTGCAACTAGATGCCACATAAAATGCACATACATACATACCTTAATCCTTTAGAATTCCCCAGAAATCATGGGTTTATGAGATCTTAAGTCACATAAACAGCATGTGTGGAAAGAGGGTGTGTGATGCCACCTGACATGCAGTCACAACACCACTCTGCAATATTCAATATTACTACTAATCCTTCTTACTACAGATACCACAAAAAGGGTGAGTAATGTTTTTGGCATCAGGGAATATGAAAGAATTTACTTTGAAGGGGCTAAAGAGAAAGGAGCAATTGTCTGAATAGGAGGACCCCACCAGCAGGGTGCCTAAGAGCTAACAGTAATGGGAATCTGAAGCTGTGTGTCATCTCAGCTGAAGATTGTGTCATCTCAGCTCAGCTACAGAAACCAAACCAGGTACTGACAGTAGAATGGGCAATCACTGTAAAGCTTCTGGAATCATCTGTTGCTTTTCTGAGAGAAATCAACAGCTTTTGCCTATACAGCTAATGAAGCTTTAGATCTGGGTTTCCACCACCAAATGAACAAATAGAATGTAAAGCAACCCAGTGTCTACAGCAGAAGCTGAAAAACCACAATTGCGGGTGGAATTTGAGGGCCTGCAAGGTCACAAAATGAGGAGAGACAGAAAACACAGTAAAACTTAAATGACTGGATCATAAAGTTGTTCTCCTTTTTGTCAATTGCTCTTTTCATTTGGACTTGGTCATGTGCTAATAAATATCTTTACAGATGGCAATGCTTCAGTTCTACATAAGGAACTGATTACAGTGGTGCCTCGCTTAACGATTGCCCCGCATTATGACGAATCTGCTTTACGATGATCTTTTTGCGATCGCAATTGCGATCGCAAAACGATGGTCTAAATGGGGGAATTTCACCTTGTGATGATCGGTTCCCTGCTTCAGGAACTGATTCTTTGCAAAACAATGTTTTTTAAACAGCTGATCGGCAGCTTCAAAATGGCCACTGTCTTTCAAAATGACCCCCTGCTGTTTTCTAGGGATGGAGGTATGGAGGATCTTCACTGGATCATGAGTTTTTACCCCATCGGAACGCATTGAAAGGGTTTCAATGCATTTCAATGGGGTTTTTATTTTCGCTTTACGATGTTTTCACTTAATGGCGATTTTCCTGGAACTGATTATCGTCGTTAAGTGAGGCACCACTGTATGTTGTGATGGCTGGTAGCCAGACAAGGGATGGCAAGAGAATGATAAGATGGAAAATACCATTTTTTAAAATGCTGGTACAAATAACTATGGAATTTAGCACTAGCAGAGAAATTAGTTAAAAGAATCAGAGACCATTCCCATTTGATCTGGTTTCCTTTAATTCATTTTTCTCTTAAATTAGACTGTGGAAACAAATTACAAAATGTCATGCTCATGACTGGGTAAACCCATTCAGTTGATTGTAAGGTCACAAAGGTCATTGTATCTCTTCAGTTCAGTTGCAAGGGTAAAAACTATAGAGTCATAGATTTGGAAGAGACCACTGAGGCCATCCAGTCCAACCCTCCACCATGCGGGAACATCCATCAAAGTACTCCCAACAGATGGCCATCCAGCCTATGCTTAAAAACCTCCAAACAAGGAGACTCCACCACACTCCGAGGCAGCATATTCCATTGCCAACCAGCTCTGACTGTCAGGAAGTTCTTCCTGATGTTCAGATGGAATCTCTTTTCCTGTACTTTGAAAGCATTACTAAATGTCCTAGTGTCTGGAGCCCTGGAAACAAACCTGTCCCCTCTTCAACATAACATCCTTTCAAATATTTAAACATGGCTATCATGTCCCCTCAACCTAAACATTCCCAGCTCCTTAAGCCACACCTCATAGGACGTTGTTTCCAGACCTTTAACCATTTTAGTCGCTCTCCTCTGGACATGTTCCAGGTTGTCAACATCCTTTTTGAACTGAGGTGCCCAGAACTGGACACAATTATGTGTATATTCACTGGAGGCTCTCATATGTTGCGTTCACTGTACATTCTGCAATGGCTAATATGCTGCTCTGTGATGCTACAACTCTGAGTTATTACATCTGGATACTGTGACTTCCTGTCTTCAAAAAATATTTTAAAGCTGGGGAAACAACTGGGGTAAGCTTATAGTTTCTCTAGCAGATGTGTTTTAAGTGCTCTAAGTGCAAATACTGTACAACTGGTAGATCATGCACTAAAAGCCATTGGAAGCATTTGCTTTAATGATTATGGGCATCCTGTGCAATTTGGGAAACCCTCCAGTCCTGCCTGAATTCAAGATTATATGCCATAGTGGGCATCAATGACCAATTCCAAGAGGAAAACTTTTTAGGAATTCTTTCAAGGAGAAAGAAGGGGTAAAAATATTTTAAATACATACATCAAATAAATAAATCGTACCAAATAAGGTTATTAGCAGCATTGAATTTTAAGTAAGCAAGCAAGCAGTGCCTTCTGTGCCCTAAAGTGATAGTGCTTCTTTTGGTTCAAACCTCATTTTACCTGCACCATAATGATTGGGCCTCCATTCTGATAAAGGTGAAGCTTCATCTTTGGTAGTAAGATTCCCATCCACCTCCCTACAGCTGTCAAGTAATCTAGAAAACGATGAAGGAGAGAAGGTACATGGATCTCAAATCAACATTTTATAGCATCCATTTATTTATAGAAAGGAGTCACTCATGTTATGTATTATAAGTGGTACTCATAAAAATTCTTTCCCAAGCAGTATCAGCTCAGATACTATCAACATGTGAAATTCAGTTTTTGATGGCTTGGAGGAGTGTGTATGCATTCCTTAGCAATGCATTGTATTTCAACTTCCATTTCACTGTTGTCTATTTAGCTCATTTGGAAACACTGTTCTGGAATTATTTAGTCGCCTTGCATTTTACCCTCTTAAATAATCTGGCATTATGCAAAAACTTGGCTACTTTGCTGTTCACCTCAGCTTCAGATAACCTATGAATTAACTCATTCAAAACAGACCCAAAGAGGTTCTTGCAGGGCTCTGCTACAATCTTCCATCAATTTCATTTATGTATTTGCTTATTCCATTTTTATCCCACCTTTCCACTAAGTAAAACACTCATGTTGCCCAGTACATATTGCTAAAAACAAATTAAACAATACACTCACTTCAAATCATCATCATAATCAGAAAGCATGAAAAACATTTGAAAGGTAGGATTAAAAACATTATAAAATATTTCCTTCATTTTTACTTTTGACTTTTTTTCCTAAAGCTGGCTTTTCATCATTTTGCTACTCAATGGCTGAAATCTGTTTCCATAACTTATGCCTGCATAAGGCTGACAACATCATCAGCAGGGGCAATGTTTTTGGAAATGAAACCTTTCCTACTTCTGTTCCAAGACTCCCACAGCTCCTGTGGGAGCTATGGGACAGAAGTAAAAAAATGTTTTATTTCTGAAAAATTACTCCTGCTGATGACACCATCAGCCCTATGTTGCCATAAAGAACAGAACTGTGGCCAATGTTTACTTTATTTATTCATTTATACCGTGGCTTCCTCCCACAATGAGAGTGCACGGTTGTCTCCCCACTGTATCCTCATAGCCACCCAGGGAAATAGACTTGGCTGGAAAACAGCCACTGGCCCAAGCTCACCTGTGCGCATCATGATGGTATGGTGATTTAAATCTGAACATCTCCAGCATGAGTCCATTAGCATTAATCACATTAATTACTGCACCACAGTGATTCCCCCAAACATTTCAACTTGGACAATTTGAACATCCAAACCAACAGCTATTTCTCCCCCACTGTGCAATCATTTCCAAACTCCTCTGTCTAAGGGCAACCTAAAGAAATATTATGACATATTTCTTCTCATAAGTTCAGACACAGTAGCCAGAAGATTTTGGAAGCTGTAGTCCAAAACAGATTTTCCAAATTCTGCATAATTCCATATCTGAGAGAAATTACATAGTATCACATGCCTGCAATTCACATGTATTATGTAATCCTATTATTCCTCCACATTCTACTTCTACATAATGCAGTCCTAAATACACATCCTGAGTATCACACAATGTTATTTATTCTGCTTACCCGAATCAGAAGATCTAAGAACAATAGATTCTTTTTCTAATAACCAGGCAGGTAGACCTCCCTAAGAGGAAAGAAAGAACCCAATAAAAATATTTGTTTTGTGAATTGTGTATATATGCTTCCTGGAAACATCATCTGTAATAGATCGGCAAGAATACTAGCCATGGCCTTTAAAAAATATTAAGACGAGTTTTGTGAGCTATTGGACAGAATTGGGATGCTTCCACATGCGGCTTTTATTCTACAATCATCCTACCTCCATTGGAGACAAGCTGAATTTAATGCAAGAATCTCTGCCTTGAAAAAGTATGTCAGACATGAAAACTAGAAAAATATTTACCATGTCCCATTCTGCACATATGTAAGGGCCTGCTCTCAGTATGACTAGCAAGCCAACATCATCAGCAAGCTGCAGGAAATACTCAAGATCTCTATCACCAGTGAAACTGTAAACTCCTGGTTCAGATTCATGGAAGTTCCATGGCACATACCTGCAAAAATGTTACATACATCACTGTTACCCTCTAATGTTACAATGATGACAATTAAAACAAACCAGCAGCAGTATCAGCACACCAGAAATAACTGCAAGTAGCTACAACTAATTGTGGTGTAGATGTTTCTGTGAGCACATCCAGTCTGTGCAGCCCTGGGCAAGCTGCATAGTTCCAGGGTGCCCCCAGAAGCCGGGCGTGACAAACTACTTCTGAGTATTCTCTTCCTAGAAACCCCTAAAAGAAGGATCAACATAATTCAGAATTGACTTGATGGTGCATCATAAGGAACAACAGGGAAGGAGGAGTTATTTTCCAAGTGAATCAGAAATCATGCCTTATTCAGAGAAAGTCCTTTACATATGGAACCCTGCTCATAGTTCATATGTCAGCTGGGGCTTCTGTGTACAGAAATGTACATGGTCCTTTTTCTTCTGCTTTGTAAATTCATATCATTGTTTCTCCTAAAATCCAACTTCATGGTTTTGAAAACTGAATGCCTTACTATGAGTTTCCTTCACAGCATTTAATAACAAAATAGTGATGATAAAATTAGTGCCTAAGTGGCATTCATTGGAGCTAAGGCCATTAAGCTAAACATTGAGGAAGAAGGGAAGGCAGCTCTACAGGACTGCATGTCAGATGTTTCAGTTCTTCTGAGGAAAACTGACTAGCTCCCTTGAGGATATTGGGTTTCAATCAACTGGCTTAGATCTTCTGAAGAAAAAGGCATAATTCCCCTGAGGAAACCAGGTTTTAATTAACTGATTCCTGTGCACCATGGAGGTTTCCTTTTCTTTTTACTTCCTGCTCAACAGAAGAGCACACAGCACTCAAAACTCAGGATCTGTGTGTCCAGTGGTGGAACAGAAATGTATTAAACTTATTAAAACAATCCCATATCATATCAGCCACGAAATTAAAAGACGCCTGTTTCTTGGGAGGAACATGATGACAAACCTTGACAGCATCTTAAAAAGCAGAGATATCACCTTGCCAACAAAAGTCCGAATAGTCAAAGCTACGGTTTTTCCTGTCGTGATGTATGGAAGTGAGAGATGGATCATAAAGAAGGCTGACCGCTGAAGAATTGATGCTTTTGAACTTTGGTGCTGGAGGAGACTCTTGAGAGTCCCCTGGACTACAAAGAGAACAAACCTATCAATTCTAAAGGAAATCAACCCTAAGTGCTCACTGGAAGGACAGATCTAGAAGCTGAGGCTCCAGTACTTTGGCCATCTCATGAGAAGAGAGGACTCCCTGGAAAAGACCCTGATGTTGCTTTTGGGTTTTTCACTTGCATCCGGCTTCTTGAATATGGTTTCTTCTGACAATAGCAGAGCACATGTTGTTGTTTAGTCGTTTAGTCGTGTCCGACTCTTCGTGACCCCATGGAGCTGAGCACGCCCTCCTGTCTTGCACTGCCTCCCAGAGTTGGGTTAAATTCATGTTGGTAGCTTCAATGACACTGTCCATCCATCTCATCCTCTGTAGTCCCCTTCTCCTCTTGCCCTCACACTTTCTCAACATCAGGGTCTTTTCCAAGGAGTCTTCTCTTCTCATGAGATGGCCAAAGTCTTGGAGCCTCAGCTTCAGGATCTGTCCTTCCAGTGAGCATTCAAGGCTGATTTCCTGCAAAGTGGATAAGTTTGTTCTCCTTGTAATCTAGGGGACTCTCAAGAGTCTCCTCCAGCACCACAATTCGAAAGCATCAATTCTTCGGCAGTCAGCCTTCTTTATGGGCCACCTCTCATTCCATATATCGCTACTGGAAAAACCATAGATTTGACTATGTGGACCTTCTTTGTTGGCAAGGTGATGTCTCTGCTTGTTAAGATGCTGCCTAGGTTTGTCATCGCTTTCCTCCCAAGAAGCAGACATCTGTTAATTTCTGGGCTGTAACCATCTGCAGTGATCATGGAGCCCAAGAAGGTAAACTCTGTCACTGCCTCCATATCTTCCCCTTCTATTTGCCAGGAGGTGATGGGACCAGTGGCCATGATCTTAGTTTTTTTGATGTTGAGCTTCAGACCATTTTTGGCACTCTCCTCTTTCACCCTCA